TCAAGTTGCCAGGTCCAGGACTTGAACCGTGACTGGCCTTGTGTGAGCCCAATGCCTTAGCCATCATACCACCTCCTGGCCCCGTACTTTTTTTTTTTCCCCTAAAGTTTACCTTTTTTCCTCTTCCATGAGAGAGAGGCAGGGATAGGCAGAGGCCGGTGCTCCCAGTAGTCTTCACGCTGTCATCCACCCCCAGCGTCAGCCAGCCAGGACCACTGGCACACACCTTCACACGTGTGCATACCAGGGATGCCTTGGGGATGCGAACCTGGGACTGACTCCTGCGGCTTCAGTACCGCAGTGGATCTCTGGGTTACTACTGGGTCACTGAGGATGGCCCATGGAGGACGCAAGCTTAAGCCATGTGTGTTTGTCAGAAAATGGCAGGACCATGGTAGAGCCTGGGGAGGGAAACGCAGTGTGTGGCTAGGGAGGACCGCAGTGTCAGATCCCTACTGAGAAGGGGACATTTCAGGAAAGTGAACCTTCAGGAACCCAGTAAAGTAGAGCCAGTGCCAAAAGCCCTGGAAAAGGAGTGTAAGGTTATGGCTGGAGTAGGGGGAGTAAGGCTGAGCAGCAGTCAGGTGGCAGGCGGGGAGTCACCATGGCCTGGTGGTTAAGGAAGCCAGATCCTACATGGTCGACTGTGTTTTTGAGTACAGGACCCGTTGGCTTAAGAAATACACAGGGCTGGTGTGTCCGCCCAAAATTCTGAAAAGAGGGAGAGATGGAGGAGAAGGGATTACAGTGTAACCGTTCCCCATGGTGGATACTTTCTCTTGTGTTCTGTCTGTCTTTCTGGTGAGTGCAGGAGCCCTCTGGCAATTAAAATATAAAAAAATAATTAATAAAAAAGGGCCTGCAGGTGTCATAGTGGTTAAGGTGCTGGACTCCCGCAAGGCCGCGGTTTGAGTCCTGGACCTGGCAGCTTTCTCACTTAACCTCTCTCTCTGGTCAAATTACAAAAATAATGATGAATAAAATTAAATATAATAATTCTTAAAAAAACAGCAACAAAAGAAAAATGAGAAGGTGTAAGGAACAGATTGGGATAGACTTGTAGAATTTCCCATCTAACCCCTGGTTGAAAGTGAGCTGATGTAGTGGGAAGAGTTCAGAGCAGTGCAATAACCTGACTTCTGTTTGAAAAGGATCACTGGTTGCTGCATGGATTAGAATACATTTTCTCAGGGACCAGCAGTTAGCGCAATGGCTATGTCGCTGGGTTCCCACGTAGTCGACCACAGTTCGAGTCCCGGACCTGGTGGCTTAAACTCATGCCAGGTGCGTGTGCGTGCGTGCCCAAGATCCCGAGAGGAGAATGAAGGAGAAGGGATTGCGGCATGGCCATCCCCTCTAGGGGGTGATTT